CGCAAGAAGACGTTCAAGCACAAGCCAGCGACCAAGCCGGCGTCCAAGCCCGACGCCAAGTTGGCCAAGCCCGACGCCAAGTTTGAGAAGCCCAAACCCAAACCGCCGCAGTCGCTCTCGGAGCACCAGGCCGAGCTCGAGCAGGCGTGGGCCGAGATGCGCAAGCGCCGCTCGACACCGGCGTCCGAGCCCGCGGCTCCTGGTTGGTGCTACCAGGACACCTCTTTGTGCTCACCATGCGCGTGCCTAGTCATTGACAAGGCGTTTGATGCGAAGAAGGGCTCCGTGAAGGACAAGATCAAGGCCAAGCGCCAGAAAAACAAGGAAGAGCGCGTCTTCACCAACCTTGAAGCGCCGACCTCGGTACCGTCGCCGTTCTCGTCCCTAGTTATGAAGCGTCCTGGATTAGGACGTTGTCGATGCGTCGTTCCACTACCAAGAGCCGGACGCTCCCGAGACGGGCTCGCGCGCCTTGTCGGTCGCCGTCATTGGCCGCCCGAACGCAGGCAAGAGCTCGCTCATGAACTCGCTCCTCGGCTTCAACGTACGTCCTCTCTGTCGCATCATCAAAGCGTCTGAGCCAGTGCAGGTCTCGGCGGTCTCGGCCAAGTACAACACCACGCGCGACCGCGTCCTCGGCATCCTCACGCAGGACGACGTGCAAATCACGTTCTTCGACACGCCGGGCCTCGTCAACCAAAAGTACCTCGCCCGATGCCCGGTGGTATCTCTGACCGCTGGTAGGGACAACCACAAGTACGTGCGGTCGCTGGCCGTCACGGCGTCCGAGACCATGTCGTCGGTCGACCTCTCGCTCCTCGTTGTCGACGCGGTCAAGCGCCTCGACGACGAAGCGCTCGAAGCCCTCAAGAGTAATATCCATCGTATTATACTTCTGGGGCTTACGCGTGCGCTAGATATTGCGATCTCGTCGGCGCAAGTGTCGGCGCCGATCGCGCTCGTGCTCAACAAGGTACTTTGCCATCACTGCTAGAGAATGGTAAGCTGAAGGGTCGTAGATGGACTTGGTCGGTCCCGCCGAGAAGGCGCACGTCACCAAGCGCGTCCAAGTGCTTAGCGAGATGATCGACGCGGCGTTTGAAGAGCACTACAAGCCGGAGCCGGATTTCTCCGAGTTTGACGACGAGGAAGACGGCGAGGACGACGACCCGGACTTTGACGCCGAGTCGTTTTTTGCGAGCGAAGAAGACTTGGAAGAGTACGAAAACGACGACTTTGACGAAGACGATCTGTTGCCGAGCGTCACGCCCCTGCAACTGGACCCCAAGACATACCTCTTTGACAAGACGTTCAAGGTCTCGGCGCTCAAGGAGTCGGGCGTGAAAAAGCTGCGGTCGGAACTCCTCTCGCTGGCCGTGGACCGGCCGTGGCTGTACCACTCGAGCATCAAGTCGGACCGGTCCGACTTGGACTTGGTCACGGAGATCATCCGCGAAAAGATCTACCGCCGCTTCAACCAAGAGTTGCCGTACCAGGTACTCACTCAATGTGGTGTCGCCACTCAATCTCAAAATGGCGCGGTAGATTGAGCAGGAGAACCGCGGCTGGACGCCGTTCAGCGACAAGAGCATTCGCATCGACCAGGATCTGATCGTGCCGTC